AGATATAAGGAAAATCACTGTACTGACATTTTATTTATTTTTTATTGACAACATCAAAATCCTCGCTAGTCCATACTATATCATCTCTTAGATTATATATTATATGATATACAAACTTGTATATCAACACTCCCTCCTAATCTAAGATTGATGTAGCACAGGTACCCATTACTTAGATTAAATAATAAAATATTAAACTAATAAACTCTAAAATTACTCCCTCCTAATCTAAGTAAGGCAGTGATTATGCAAGATGGAGTATTTCCAAAAAAATATTAAAAATATTATAGGGTAAACTTTTTGTAAAAATATCTGCTAATTGTTTATTAGAAGGAATATATTGAATTGAAATGTACTGAAGTTCTACACACTCTCTAATAAAACAATACTTTGTATCAATGTGTTTGAGTCTTTGGTGTTTCCTTGGTTCAGTGGCTATTTTAATACAAGATTGATTATCTTCAAAAATAACTGTTTTGTCATTTAGTTCAACACCCATTTCGTTTAACAAACCTCTTAACCACAAACATTCAGTAGTAGTAGCAGCTGCCAGAGCAATATATTCTGCCTCCGTGCTAGACAGTGCTACAGTTGGTTGTTTTTTTGTTGACCATGAAACTGTTGAACCAAAAACTTGGAAAACATACCCTGTTATTGATTTTCGATCTTGAACATCATTTGCAAAATCTGCATCACAATAGCCGCATAATGCTGTTGAGTTTGATTGTTTGGTGAAAACTAAATTTAAATCTTTAGTACCTTGCAAGTATCTTAATACTCTTTTTAAATATTTCCAATGTTGTTCAGTAGGGCAAGATTGGAATCGGCTTAAAAAATTTACTGCAAAGCTTAAGTCCGGTCTAGAGTTGGTCATTAAGTACATTAAACAACCAACGAGTTCTTTATAAGGTTTCGTTGTTATAACTTCACTATTCGGAATTTCTTTTAAATTTAATTCTATAGGACTTCTTACTGGACTACATTCTGACATTTGAAATTTTTCTAGTAATTTAATAATGTAATGAGTTTGATTAATTTGGAGTATTCCTTTCTCTCTGTTTCTAATAATTTTGATCCCCAAATAAATATCTACATCTCCCAAATCTTTCATGTGAAAAGTTTTATTTAACATTAGCTTTAATTGATTAATGTCAGTTTTACTATTTCCTGCAATTAAAATATCATCAACAAATAACAGTAAATATAAAATATTCTTGTCTCCAGTTTTTACATACAAGCAATTATCAGATTCACAACGTTTGAAGCCAATTTTAATCATCGCTTCATCAAAACATTTATACCAACATCTTGGAGCCTGCTTTAAGCCATAAAGGGATTTATTTAATTTGCACACTAAACTGTTATCATTTTGAAATCCTCAGGTTGTTTCATATAAACGTCTTCAGTTAAATGTCCATGTAAAAACGCTGTTTTTACATCCATTTGATTAATTATTAAGCCATATTCATTTACTAAAACTAATAAAATCCGTATAGTTATAACATTGGCTACAGGAGCATAGGTTTCAAAATAATCAAAACCAAATTTTTGCATAAATCCTTTTGCAACTAACCGCGCTTTATACCGAATTATCTCATTATTTGCATTAGTTTTATATGTAAAAATCCATTTACAAGGTATAACTTTCATTTCTTTGCAACGTGGAACAAGAGTCCACGTATTATTTTCTACGAATGAATTCATCTCTTCGAACATAGCTTCTTCCCACTTTGTTCGATGAGGATGATGCTTTACTTCTTCAAAACATTTTGGTACATCATTAACATAGTTTTCCGCAGAATATGCATAATGCGAATAATTATTATTGTCTTCGTCTGGCTTAACAAAACTAGCATTGACAAAGTTATTTTTATGCCATACACCTGGCTTGCGTTTACGTAATTTAGGACCACTGACGTTTTCATTTGTTTCATTCTCTACATCAAAACTTAATTTATTTTCCTTATTTGATTCTTGACTTTTATTTCCATTTACGATATCTACTTCTTCTGAAGAATGTTCTGACTCATTATCTTGTAAATCATTCATTGACTTTTTATTTGAGTCGTTTGATATAATTGGATAAACATATAATGAAGATTCATCCAACGACAAAGGTTTTAAGGTTTTCTGGAAAACCGCTTCATCAAATGATACATCTCTACCAACTTTAATACAATTTTGAGCTAAGCTCCATAGTCTATATCCCGTATTAGCATAACCAATCATAACACATTTATCACTCCTCTCATTAAATTTACCATTTTGTAATTGTTTAGGAATATGTAAATAGGCTAAACAACCAAATACCCTTAAATTACTTAAATTGGGCGTTTTCGAATTCCACATTTCAAAAGGCGTTTTGTAATTGTAATTAGCAGCTGTTGGTGATCTATTAAGTAAATATGCAGCAGTACGTATACTTTCTCCCCAAAATTGTTTATTTAACCCCGATTCAATAATCATGGATCTACCCTTGTCTAATAGTGCCCTATTCAGCCGTTCAGCATGTGCATTAAGTTCAGGCGTGTAAGGAATAGTATAATCTAACTGTATACCATGCGAAGAACAAAACATTTTAAATTCTTTCGAAATATATTCACCACCATTATCACACCTAACTTTATTTATATTTCTCTCAAAATGAGCTCTAGCCATTGCTTCAAATTCTTTAAAATACTTTAAAACCTCCGATTTTGAATATAATAAATAAACTACACAAAAATGAGTAAAATCGTCCAAAAAGGTTACAAAATACTTCTTATTGTCATGAGTTGTTGGCGTTATAGGGCCACATACATCAGTGTGAATTATTTCTAAAGGTTTGTTAGCTTTGGTGCGTCCAAGACTAAACGGCAGCCTATGTTGCTTGGCCATAGTACAAACTTCACATTTATTTAACTCATTATCATTGATTAGGTTTATTCCATTAGATAATTCAGATAATCTTTTAAGATATTGATCATTTATGTGCCCCAACCGCCTGTGCCACAAATTAGAGTTAATTTTTGAACGAAGTAATGAATCTAAATAATTTTTATTATCAAATTCAAAAACTATTTCATACAACATACCTTTACGAAAACCCTGTGCATAAATTCGATTACCTTGCATAATCAGTACCTTATTATCATCAAAAACAACTTTAAATCCATTTTTTTCAATTTTTCCTACGGATAATTTTTTCTTAGATTTGGTACATAAATTACATCCTGAATTGTACACGCACACTTCCTTCCATTGACATTACACATTGCTTTAATATTTCCTATATGTGTGCCTTCTAATTCTTCACCAGCTTTAGCAACTCCAATTTTAGCTATGGAGTCTAAAATTTTGACATTACCTAAAACATTAACATCATTCACTAAATGATCAGAAGCTCCAGAATCCACGTACCATGTCAACACTTGGCTAGTTTCTTTGAAGTTATTTACCATAAATGCTATGTTACCAGATTCATCTTCGTTATTCATTTGAAAATCTTCTACATTATTTGCTCGCTTTTGGTTATACCATGTGTTTTTATTTCTTCTAGGTTGTCTTGCACGGCTATGTGGGCAATTATTTTCAATGTGACCTAGTTCGTTGCAATTAAAACATCGCACTTGTCTTCTAAAAGGAAATTTAGATTGAAATGCAGCACTATTATTCACATCACTAGGTGTGCAGCTACCGATATCGCTTCTTCTCTTCATTTCTTCATTCAATAATCTATTTTTGACAAATTCAATTGTTATCTTATCTGGTGATAAAGTTTCTATCGCAGTAACAACTATATTATAAGATTCCGGTAAAGTTAAAAGCAAAATACAAGCAATCATATCTTCTTCAAGTTTGCCTCCTGCAGATTTGATTTGTCTTACAATATCATCAAATTGTACTAAATGATTTTCCATTGAATCATTATCATTATATTTTATAGTTAATAACTTCTTCAGCAATAATAGTCTGTTCGAAACGCCCGTTCTTTCAAAAGTTGAAATCAATTTATTCCATTTTTCCTTAGCAGTAGAACCCTCTCTTACGTATTCTATATGAGAATCAGCAACACATTGAATTATAATAGATTTTGCTTTAGTATCAAGCTTTTCAAAGTCTTTCTTTTTAGTTTCATCGTCAGGGGGATCTTTTGTAAGGCACTCTGCAACCCCATATTCTTCTAAGATTGACTGGACTCTGAACTTCCACACGCTAAAATTCACTCCATGAAACTGGGTTATGCCAAACTTTTCTTCTTTCTTTCCAGACATATTTGCTAAACAAATCTAAAAGCTGTTCTGGGCCATAACCTCTTGTAATATAAGATATAAGGAAAATCACTGTACTGACATTTTATTTATTTTTTATTGACAACATCAAAATCCTCGCTAGTCCATACTATATCATCTCTTAGATTATATATTATATGATATACAAACTTGTATATCAACAATAAGTACCACTACCAGTGGCGGCTCGTGATAATACGGGATGGTAGTGCCAGATTTTTAACAAATGTGAAAACCCCGCCGGAGGCGCCCTGTTGCAGGCCCCCCCTCCAGAGACGAAAAATTTTTTGGGGTGCCACGCCCAAATTTTTAACCAAAAGTCGTTTAAAAAACTAGTTTTGGGCAAAAATTTATCACGGTATTGTCAAAATAGATATAAAATTTTAATTAAAAAAATAAATAAAGGACGGATACTTTTATATCTATTATATTACTACTATTTATGAGGTTTCTAACACAAGTTTTTTCACGAAACAGGCCTTCAGGGTTAGTGTTATTCTAAACTTTGCCAATAAATTACTCAAAACTTATCAAAGAACTGTGAAAAATTAAAAATTATAAATTAACCTATCCCCTAGTAATTAATGCTAAAATTAATGCTAAAAATCCTTGCAGTTTGTTATTACCATAAAGAGTTTTTAGGTTCATATACCAAAAAAATCACAAAAATAAAACTATACCTATTTACAATATTTACACACTCACACAAAGTTGCTTGATATACTATTTTTAAAGTTTTCGATAAATGAAGTCCATTCTTCTTTCTTTTTTGGTTGCAAAGTTTGCAATTATTTTATTTTTAAAATTTTCAATTCCATTCACAAAATGTTTTTCTGCGGACAACATACCTAAAGCACTAAGCTTTTCTTCCTTCATTGTATTTCTGTGGAATGTTTTGATCCGTTTAAGCATTGAAAAACAGCGCTCTGCTTCAGATGTTGACATAGGTATTGATATCAAAATACTTAAAAGTATAAAAGTTTTCTGAAATGTACAATTTAAACCTTCCTCATTTAATAAAAGTGACATCGGGACAGCTTCGGAGGTGGTACCTAATTCGTCTCTCTGATACAGTACTTGTAATTCATTTTTAAGCATATTTTTGTCTAAAAATGAAAATTGTATACATGTTTGATTGAGGAATGATTCGGGAAACTGATGCCTACAGACCGAAAACTTCTCCGACATAAATAAATTAGAAGCAACCAAATGTCCAGAGAAGTTGAACCTTGTTTTTATTTGCAATAAAACGGCATCACATATTTCTGAGGCTTCGCGTTTTCTGCTGTTCTCTTTAATTCGTGCCTTTTTTCTTATTGGTTCACCAGTTGCTCCTTGAATATTGTTAATAATGCTGTCTATTTGCTCCCGTATACCTTGAATTGCTCTTTCAAAATTTTCCAAATCTTTCTTGACCTTAACAGAATTCGTGCATACTTTTTGTAAATGATTAAAAATAATTTCCACGTGATATAAAATTTTTATCCTGAAGTTTTAATTTGTACCCAGTCGCTTGGTTAATAGACGACAAATCGCGTGAAGTACTTTCTATAATGTCCACAACTGTAATGATGTCTTTTTTATTCTCCTCGCGATTGAAAATTCCAACGTGTTTGGAAAGATCTTGGCAACCTGCGCGATTAACTACCTCATCAATTTTTTTTTCTTTGAGGAGACGTGGAAAAGAAAGAGTACAAACCAGATAAATTAGAAAAAAATATTCTAGCCTGCTTATTGACAGAACATGCACTTGTTGTAACTAAATTCATTTGGTGTGCATAGCAATGAACGTAATTTTCAAGAGGATATTATGTTTATTTAATAATTTCTTGCACACCATTTAATCCACCACTCATTACAGTCGCGCCCCGTCATAGCTTTGATCCATTAATTTATTTGGACTATGTTTTAATAATGGATGTAAAACATTTAAAATACATTCAGCGATTGATTTGGCGTCGTGTCCAATTTTTGAGGAACTTTTTTAAAAATAACATTGGCAGTAATTCGTCCATAAAAATTTTGACGGATGAGTACTTTCCAGAAAAAATTCTTGGCGAACTTTTTTAAAAAAATTGACAATAATTCGTCCATAAAAATTGTAATGTAATGTAAAAACTCTCAACTGGTCGTCCTTTACACAAATATCTGAAAACTATAACTAATTGAAATACACAAGCAACGTCCGTCGTTTCATCGGCAATTACTGCAACAAAAGGATAATTTTCTATTTCTTTCCTAACGTCTTCGTGATAAACATCTAACATGCACTCAAGAAGTTCATTTTGAGTTGTTTTTGAGGTACCTTTGAAAGCTTTTGAACTTTGAATATGAACCTTTAAGTCGTTGTCTAATTCGGCGCTAAAATTCACCAGCTCCTTAAATATGCCTCTATAGCTCAAAAGCTCCACAAAACCTTATACAATTTATGATTTGATTTAAAACATTTGATGCCTATCTACTTTTTGATTATGTTTAATTAGGGCATCACGATAAGCCGAATTTAACTGGGTTTTTATATTTAACTTACCAAGCATGGAAAAGCTAAAAACATTATTCATTTGCACTTTATATTTTTCATGGGATTTCATTTTATCCCATATATGGACAAGATCGTCTGTGCCTTTTGTTGACCAAGTCTCGTCACCTCCAAACAAAACACACACAAAACAAAACAGTTTTTTTATTTTCTTCGCAACCACACCACCAACTATTTTTATCATAAATAGTTTTATTAAATTTATGACACCGCGATTTTTGCCTAATTCTGTAATTTGCAGTTTTTCTTCTAGCGAAAAACCACTAAAAGAGTTTTTTATGACGCCAATTTTATTCATTGTCACAATAAATTAAAAACTAGAAAAAAAATATTTAAACAGGTTTATCGAAAACTAAAAGACACGCATTAACGTTACTAATACTTCGTAATGTAACGAAAAACTTAAAAGCGCGTAAAGAAATTCCGTTAATCAGTCAACAATCGACATTATCGAGAAACCGCGATTATCTGAACAGCTATCGGCGCTGTGCCTGGCACGAACATTCCTTGATTTTACCGTTTAAATACCTGTAAAATGTCCCCATCTATATTGCTCACATAGGTTGCTGGTAAAATCTCTCTCTCTCCCCTAGTGCCAGCTGAGAAATGGCTCCAGTACGCTGTAAGAGCTTGGAGATTTATGCAGCGCGAGGTTGCCATATTTCAAATAATTTTTGAATATAAAAAGAAATGCATAAAGACGTTTTAAAAATAAAAAAATATATTTTTGCATCAAAAATAAGGTAGTGCCATGGCATAGTGGCACTATCTCACGAGCCGCCACTGACCACTACATACAATGGAAAAATTTGTCAACTAGAATATATAACCAGCAAATTAAGATGTTATTAATATACGAGGAAGTAAATGTAAAATTTTGTTCAAATTCTACAATATAATGATTTTTGTCAATGTTGTCAAGAGCGTAAAATTAATAATTTGAATACAAATCTGATTTATTTTAATGGCTTATATGATCTTTTAAATAAAGTATGATTAGTTAAAAACAATTATTATGTACTTACCCTGAAACACACTGGATATGGAAAAACAGTTTGTTAATAAAGTAACATTGGTTTATTTTCAATATATTAAAATATGGTAATTAAAATTTTAATTATCAGATACAAATTATATATTATTCGTTGCGATTTTCTAGTTTACGTCATTTTTAGTTGAATTAAAACAAAATACGTAAATATCGTATCACAGTACCCTAAATTACTTTCTAAAATTTTAATTTCATATTTTTGAAAGATAATATTAAAAACTTATTTCTTTCTTAAGGTTGTTAAGCAGTTAAAACAAAAACTATATATTTTTAGGTTATCTTTTAACTCCTAGATGCATTGTTTTACAATTTAAGTTCACATGGTATAACATTTTAAAATCTGGTGGCTATTTCAGTAACTATTTGAACTACATAGTTGTAATAGTTTTCATCATTACTCTATAATGAAACAAACCCTCGTGGTTAAGCCACCAGAATTTCATAAATACAATACTTATTTTTATGCTTATTTTACATACACAAGAATTTCATTATGCGGTTGGAATGACTGAATAATTTTCTTTATATTCTACTTTCTGTCATTTATTTTCTTTATTCGCCTTGGGTTGCCTCCTACTATTACTTTTGTTCAGACTAAGTCTATTCGGAATTCAGTATCATTTTTCTTCCTGCCATCTCGTGAAACTCACTGATCTCCAGTAAATGCTTGGGATAACAGGAGCGGTCCTTAATTTTTTTATACTACAAAAATTTTTTTTTTTAAATCTTTCGTATATACACTTCAAAATATGATTTTATTTAAAAAAAAATCTTCACTCTAAACCAATTGGACTAAGGTAATAATAGAAATTTTAAAAAATAACGCAGGCATATCGGAAAAATTTAATTTACAAAATTTTCGAAATTAGTGTTGTAGTATTTTCTTCCTGTTTTTCTTACTAACCTCTACTCAGTGAAATGCTACACGATCCTGTGGACCTAGTCAAAAACAGCTATGTTAAAAAGTATAAATGGAAAAAATCCATTCAAAACAACATGTATTACTTACTGACACGAAAAAAGAAGGCCTTGCAAATTTTAGAGAAAAAAAAAACAAAAATTGAAAAATGTATTGTTTTTTGATATTGTATGGTTACAAAACAACATCTTTGAGGTAATTTTTAATAACAATCAACCAATTATTTGAAAAGAAAAACTGGGTTTTATTAAAAATTACCAAAATAAAAATTGCATAACTTTATATGACCTGGAATTGCATAGTTGGCCCATGGGCTTTTATTGTTTAGAGAAATATGACAGGTATTTGAAGTTTTGCAGTGAATCATATATGTGTATCATATTTATAAACATTTTCTGGGAACTGGAGGTTATACTGGACGACCTGGAACTGACCGCAATGAAAAACTAACGCCCATGATGATAGATTTATTAACTTACAAGTTTTGCGGGATGGTCATGCCACAGCTTTATTGTATAAGCTGTGTTCTGCTGTAGAAATCGTAAATCTACTTCGTTACGACTGGAATACCAACGTAAGCGAACGAACTGTTAGATAAAGACTTGCAGAATTCAATCTTGATAGTCATAGATCCGCAACAGGTCCAGAGCTACTTAGATGTCATCGGATCTTGCGACACATTCAAAATTGTACATCATTCCAGGACGCTCCTTGAGTGCTTCCGTCGATTTTATTGGAGATAAACTTTTTTTTGATGCATCATAATGTTATGTCGCACACCGCGTAAATTACTCAACAATACCTAAACGACGAACATTTGGGTATTTGAACGATCTACGCGGTCAAAAGTCAATTTAACAAAATGCAAAATTGAAAAATAAAAATGACTACTTTGGTTAGGGTACTAGTTTGAAAATAATACTCAGCCCTTCCCACATTTTCTTCATGCACATTGCGTCTTCAATGGAAGTCTGAATTCGATCGTCACAGTTAGTGTATATGTCTGTTCTCGGTGCGAAGCTAAAACATTATTATAAATATTAAATATTTATTATTTTACGTTTACCTCTGAAAAAAAGGTGATAGATCCTGGTACAGTAGGCAATGACACGCTAACTATCAACTTTAATTATTTTTATCGTTTTTAGGATTAATTTTATTGTACTGAAAGTTACACGTAATATAGAATATTTTTGGCTTAATATTTGTGTTTACTAAAGATTTTGTTATACTTCCAATTTAGATCCTATTGAAGAATCCTTTGAAGAATAGCGCAGAGATTGAAGTGGCGAATGATCAAATTCAAAATGCCCTTATTACTACCTATCAGGACAACTGCCCACTAAAGGAGAGAAGAGACCTGAGGGGTACTCCATGGTGGAGCAGAAACCTCGACCAAAAAAGGAAAGAAGGTCGACATCTCTTCAATCGAGCTAAAGAATTTGGCTGTTGGGAAAACTACCGCAAATCTCTAACGGAGTACAACAAGGCTATTAGAAAGGCCAAACGAGAATCGTGGAGGAAGTTCTGTCAGAGTATATCAGACCTACCTGCAAGTACCAGACTTCACAAGATTCTCGCCAAAGATCCGAAACAGGAAGTCGGCTCGATAAAAAGACCTGACAACACCTATACGGACTCTGGTAAGGAAACTTTAGAGATTCTTTTACAGAAACACTTCCCAGGCAGTCTAATCCTGGAGGACAGGCAACATGTACCCCTTCCTTTAACGGAATCGATTATACGACCCAAAAAGGAGGATTGGAACTTTGTTGCATAAATTGTCTCTCCAAACGCCGTAAAATAGGCGATGAATTCATTTTCCCCCTTCAAATCACCCGGAGAGGATGGAATTTTTCCCGCCCTTTTACAAAAAGGACAGGAACTCCTGCTACCTCTCCTTGTGCGGCTGTTTAGAGCAAGCCTGGCGTGGAGCTATATCCCACTAGGATGGACGATGGCGAAAGTCGTGTATATACACAAGGCTGGTAGAGTAGATACCTCCCTACCAAACTCTTATCGTCCAATCTGCCTAACATCCTTTCTTCTAAAAACACTAGAGAGGATTCTAGATAGGCACATTAGAGAAGGAGGTCTTCGGGAAAACCCGTTAAACTCCTCTCAATATGCCTACCAAGCAGGAAAATCGTCAGATCATGCCCTGCACAATCTAGTAGGCAAAATCGGCTATTCCCTAAATCACGGAGAGATTGCGCTAGGTGCCTTCCTAGATATAGAAGGCGCGTTTAACAACGCCCTTCTTCAGTCTTGGTTCTCTTTTACTGAAAGAAGAAGAATCGACAAACTAACTTGTAACTGGATCAAAAGCATGCTGGCAAACCGGAACATCACTTCATCACTGCAAGGAGAGACTGTCACGTTCAGGCCTGCCAGAGGATGTCCACAAGGCGGCGTACTTTCACCCCTACTGTGGACTATTCTGGTGGATAACCTGTTAGACGATCTCTCCCGACAGGGGGTGGATTTCCAATGTTATGCGGACGTTCTGGTTATCATAATTAGGGGAAAGTTCGAAGAGGTGATCTCCAACATCCTTCAACAAGCCCTTAAAACAATCAACAGATGGTGCGAAAGGGAGCAGATGTCTGTTAACCCCCGCAAAACTGTTATTGTCCCCTTCACCAAGAGAAGGAAGCTCGACAAGCTTCGACAACCTACATTGGCTGTGGAAACCATTCCTTTTACGAAGGAGGTGAAATATTTGGGAATCACCCTAGATAAGAAACTCACCTGGAACCCCCAATTGGAAAAAACCATTAACAAAGCCAGATTATCCCTCTGGACACTCAGAAGTATATGCGGCAAAGCATGGGGGATCAGTCCTCAACTGACCTATTGGATCTACCAAACAGTGGTAAAACCCATGGTTACGTACGGCTCTGTCGTATGGTGGGACAAGGGACTCCAACGGACGGCTAGAGCAAAGCTGGTTGGAAAACAGCAGCTTGCGTGTCTCGCCATACCTGGAGCAACGTCAACTACACCTACGGGAGCCATGGAGACCATGCTGGACCTAACCCCTCTCCACATTGTGTTGGAAAGGGAGGCCAGAATGGTCTCCTACAGGCTCCTCAAAGTGGGTAGTCAATGTTACGAAGAACTGCGGTGGGACAAGACGGGGCTGATGAGTAAAATTAATAATCACCCCATCCTCGGCATGGTCTCGGACTCGCTAGTTCCCCGACAGCACATAGAAAAGCCATACAGCGTCCTCATTTCAGAGAAAGACGCATGGAGCAAAGGGGAAAAAACCCTCTTCCAGGCAGACTAGACTCCAAAACTGAAAAAGAAGTAGGAGCGGGAGTTT